TGAGACAGATCACTGAGATTAAATGCCATTCTCATATTACATCAAAGCAACAGGCTATCAACACGATTTATCACTGCTGATGTTGACTTTGATCATCAAGCACAAGCAATGTTTGTCAGATTTCTCTACTGTAAAGTTACTCCTTTCCTCCCTTTTCTATATTGTGCCCTTTGAAATAAAGTCACTACAAGATGCCAACTTAATTATTTAATTCCTACTTCTCAATATTTACAACAATAAATTCCAAATAGGTTAAAATATAAGTATAAAATATTTTGAGAAGAAAACTTAGGTGTATACTTCTATATTATTTGGATAAGGGAGATAATCAAAATAAGAAATCCCAGATATTACAAAGGAAAATATAGTCATATATAAATATAAAATTTTAATTTATGCTTTAAGCTACCATGACAATGAAAAAGATAAGTGCAACAATGAGATAAAAATTTCTTGCAACATGGGCTGAGGTTATAGTTCAGTGGTAGAGCACTTGCCTCACATGTGTGAGGCACTAATATCTATCCTCAGCACCACATAAAAATAAACAAAGATATTGTGTCCATCTACAACTTAAAAAAAATTGAAAAAATACTTGCAACATACGTTTGCAAAATTTTAATGATAATTGTATCAGTTATCATTAACCAAATATTTAGCTCGCGTCAGTGTCATACACTTTCTAAGTACAATACTTTTATTACTTCACTTTTGGAACAACCCATGAACTGTGTATATTTGCTTTTCCATCTTACAGGCAAAGAATTTAAAGCACAGTTATGTTAAATAAACTACTTGCAGTTAAAGATCTAATAAAGGACAAAGGCAATCTGGATCTTGGAGCTGTGCACATAACCTCTAAACAATATTGCCTAAAAGTGCTAGACAAAGAAAAAAGCCTATTAAGAAAAAAATGAGTACAAAAATGTAACAAAAAATCCATATATGATTATCATGATCCAATAAAAGAGAATAAAAAATGAACAAAATATATAAGCATTCATGCCACAGAATAGAAAATGTAATAATGAATTTATGAGCATTCATACAGGAAAAGATGCTAAGGAATGCTAGTACTTACTGCAATGCAAACCACACAAGGAACTACTATTTTCATCAATCAAGCTGGCAATAATTAAAAAATTGATATCATATTGTTCTAGTGATAACATAAAATAATAGGATTTTTCCGTGCTTTAAAAAGATGAATATGAATGATTAGGATATTTTTGGAAAGTATTTTTAAAAAATATGTTATAATATAATGTACATATGATTTTGGATCTTGTCATTTGTTTTTTTTTAATGTTTTTGCTTTGAAATGCTAGCACATATAAAGACTTTTCTAATCTCTTTTTTCCTTACAGTTTTATGCTTCATATAAATATAATATTATAGTGTATATCCTTTTGTGTCCGGAATAGCAATATATCTGTGAGTGCCCATATTGTGTATGTAGCTACAGTTTATTTTCATTTTGATAATGTGGTATATCAAACCAATTGATTTTTGTATGTTTATCCATACTTGTAACCCTCAGATAAATTCTACTTAGCCATGGTTTGTGATACACTTTAAATGTGTCATTGAATTTGATTTGCTAGTATTTTATTGAGCATATTTGGCATTTATGTTTATCACAGATAATGATCTATATATAGTTTCATTTTCTTGTAGTGTCTTTGTAATTTTGGTACCACATTGATTATGTCCTTGTATAAGGAGTCTGAATGCATTTCTTTTACTATTTTTTAAAGGAATTTAAAAAGAGAGTTGATTTTTTTTGGTGGGGGGGAGGTCTAGGGTTTTGAATAATCTGTTAAAGGGGCTTAACCACTGAGCCACATCCCCAGCCCTTTTTATTTCAAGACAGGGTCTTGCTAAGTTGCTTAAAGCATTGCTAAATTGCTGAGGCCGGCTTTGAACTTGCAATCCTCCTGCCTCAGCCTCCCGAGTCACTGGGATTACAGGAGAGAAGCACTGTGCCTTGCAGGAGGGTTGATATTAATTCAGCTTTGAATGTTTGAATTTACTCACGAGGACATTTGGTCCTTGACTTTTTTTCGCTGGGAGGTTTTTGATTACTTATGTTATTTTTTGTTGTTTTGTTCAGCTTTTCTATTTATTCTTCATTCAATTTTTGTGCGTTATGTGTTTCTAGGAATTTGTCCATTTTTCTAAGTTATCTTATTTGTTGGTATATAGTTGTTTATAATAGGCTCTTATTCTTTGTATTTCAGAGACATCCATTGTTATATCTTCATATTTGAGCTCCCTCTTTTTTTTTTTTTGGTTAGTCTATTCAAGGGTTTGATGAATTTATTTTGTTTCTAAGAAACAATTCAATCTTGCTGATTATTCTCCTGTTTTTATGTTCTCTTTTTGATATATTACTACTCTAGTCTTTGTTATTTCCATTCTCTGTCAACTGAGATTATTTTTGTACTTTCTTAAAGTGTAAGGTTTAGCGATTTATTTGATATCTTGTTTTCTTTTAATGTAGTCAGTCATTTCTATAAACTTTCCTATTTGTATTGCTTTTGCTGTATCCTGGAAGTTTTGGTTGAATATGCATATAGATGGTTTGTGTTTGTGAGCATTGACAAAGGTATATAAAGATACAGCATGACTATTATGCTGGGCTGTTTCTGATGGGTAGAATTGGAGGCATCAGTGTTGAGAAGCAGTCTGCTAACTTTTCATGCATTATTAAATCTGTAGTTTCTTATAAACTGCATTATTTGTTCATATTTTCAAAAACCTAATTTCTAATGAATTCATCAAAAATAAAATAGACAAAGGACTTACCTTCTTTAACTCTCATGGCAATTTGTAAAAATTGGAAGATTAAAGCTATTTTAGACTCTTCATGTAGAATAGGCCCATGTACATCAAAAATATGACATCTCAGATGACTACTGAGAAATATTTTCAGTCAACCTCTACCATATCTAAGTAGATATCTCCAAAATTAAGAGTTAAATGGAGAATAGGAAATCAAGAATGGAATTACTTATTTCAAAATGTACAATTCTAGCTAGGCGTGGTGGCACACATCTGTAATCCCAGTGGCTTAGGAGGCTGAAGCAGGAGGATCATGAATTCAAAGCCAGCCTCAGTAACTCAGTGAGACCCTGTCTCTAAATGAAATACAAAATAGGGCTGGGGATGTGGGTCAGTGGTTGAGTACCCCGAGTTAAATCCTGGGTACCAAAAAAAAAAAAAAAAAGCTCAATTCTAAGCAGACTTTGTGAACTCAAACACTTCTTCCTGTATTGTACTGTCTGCTCCAATAAGGTAGAGGTGTTTGTCTCTTTCACCACTGTATCCTTAATGCAAAGCTTAGTGCCTGATACACAGGTAACAGTGAAAAAATGCTTACCAAATGAATGCCTGTTGTAGGATAGCAGTTAGAGTTTGTTATTCCGTTACTTGTTCTTTTCCGGAATACTTGTATTTGGTTCCACTTTACAAAGTGTCTCATTATTATCCCTGCTCAGTCTGTGATTAAGTAGAACTGCTATTACTTTGGGGTATATCTGTCTTCCTAGTAGTACTGTGAGTTATCAAGGGCAATCTCTGATTTTTATTCACTTTATTCTGTATCTATAGAACTGTATCTATTAATTTATTAAAATCTGATTATAATGAGCTATACATAAATGTGTTTTGCTTTTTAATCTCCTAATAGAATGTCTCTGACAATTATTGACCATAGGAAAATACAGTTCACTGACTACTAATTCCACTATTATTTTAATGTCACATTTAATCTCATGCTCATGTTAAATTTTGTGTTACATCACTTTATAATCACTAAATCGCAATCCTTTTTTCACACAACCTCAAATTATTTGTGCCAATTCTTTTTGAAATACTCTTCTGAAATGTCTAATATCTACATTTTCCTCAGTAGGTCCTTTCATTCATAATACTTTAGATATTATATGTGTGCTGATGATTCAAATATTGATGTATCTAATCTGAACCCTTCTCCTGATATTCAAGTTCATAGATATATCTGACTGCCTATTTTCTCATCTCTACTGGTATGACAAGAAGTCACTTCAAACACAGCATGCCTAAATTCTGAACTTATTCTCTTACCTTACCCGAAATCTGCATCTCTACAATTTTTCTCATCTCAATAAGTAGCAATTCTGTCCTCCCAGTTTGCTCAGTCAAACGTGATTCCTTTCTTTCCTTCATGCTTAATTTCTAGTTCATTGGCCAGACTAGTGGATAATGTCAAAATATGTCCTTTATTCAAACACTTAATTCTTTACTTACATTGTTCTTATTCTAATCAAAATCATCATTACTTCTTACCTAAGCACTTGTGTGGCTGCCCTGTCTTGATATTTCCACTTTCCCATACTCCAATTCTCAGTTTAGCATTAGAGTGATCCTGCATGACTTAACTAAGTCATGCAACTCCTCTTGGCAAAACCCTGCAATAGCTTCCCCCTGCATACTAAACTAATATGGATGGCTACTTGGTACTTACTGGACCTTCATATTTCTTTTGTCTCTTGCTTACTTCAGTCTAGCATGGTTATTCTGATTTCACTTGCAAGAAGGAATAAAGATTTAGCTTAATTTGAATCAATAGATTAATGTAAGGTGATAAATCAGTCTTCAACATAATTGAAGTTGTGATGGATTTTATCTATTAATAAAGCATATGACAAAAAGACTTCTAGAAACCTTTTCAGAAACCTTTTCTGAGAGTCTATAAAGAAAGGTCTTTGATAATGGGAATTTCTTCCTCAATCAAAGAGCATGACAAAACCAGTCTAGGAGGGATTGCACATATACTTTTTTATTTTTCTGATTTTTGTATGTGTGTGTGTGTGTGTGTGTGTGTGTGTGTGTGTGTGTGTGTGAAACATTCTCATTGAAAAGATACTTTTTCTAGAAACTTTGTATACTTATCCATTAGTAGATGATTAATTAAAATTTGAAAATAATAGCTATAATAATTGATTTTTTTTGTTTAGGTTCCTATTTCCAGTTAGTGCAAATTTCATTTTGAAATTCAATCAAACACAGGATCCAGCAGAGGAGAACAAATTGTTGGAACATGCTAGAAAAAACATTCTCAGATGTAAGGTAATTGTAAACTTATTCCCTAATGTGTAAATTGTCTTTTCTAGCTGGGGAAATATTACATATTCTAGAATACTGAAAGAAAAGAGAACACACATACAACTTTCTTTAATTATAAATAGGCATAGATAAAATGTTAATGCAAATTAAAGATAAAAAGATTATAACCAAATAATTTAATGCCAAATGCCTTTCTGTATGAAATGTCCCCACAGATTAGTAGATAATATAGCTGTTGATACCAGTTGAAGAACTCCCAGCAAAACATCAAAGCCTGACAAACAATTATTGATTACAAAATCCCACTTAAAAAAAATTTTAGCCAAGATACTGTGTCACAAAGAGAAAAGAGAACCTTCTAAACCTTTATTATACACACATAAAGTACTCTGTTCTTTCTTTGTAATAAACCATTCTTCACCTCACTTGTGAAAAATACATTTTTAAAGAGTATGACATTAATTTTCAAATTTTCAAACAGATCTATACAGAACAGAAAGTGAAATAAATTCTTACCTTCCCTTTCCTACATTAAATTCACTATAAGTTTGACAGAGAAATGTCATTTTGTCATATGATATTACTTCACTGCAGAATAATTCATGAAATAAAAGCTGTACAAAACTGAGACATAATGTTAAAGTCACTTTTTTGGTGATGATTGCTATTTTCCGTTTTGTGGTTATTTATTTGAAACATATTTTATATATTTAAATTTTTTGGAAAAATACATTTAAAATATTTGATTACAAAAGCGCATACTTCTAACAAATGTGCATGAAGACATGTGCCAGGAGCTACCTTTGTCAGGAAGCTTTTTTCCAGCTGACCAACTGCTCCCTGAGGCCGCCTTAGGAGTGGCCAGGATAATAAGGGAGGTGGGATAATCTACGTCACTTCCCTCCTTTTCATTAGCATGGATCCATCAAGATTGTAGTAGCCAGAGTTTTCCAGCAAAGCAGCATCAAACTTGTTTTTTTAATGTTTTCTTATAAGACAAGAGATGCATTCTCTTGGGAAAATGAGGTAGAAGTAAACCCTCGAAAGCAGAATGACAATTGTTTTAGCAAATGATGAATAATATTTCTCAGAATATTAATAATCTCTACTTGCCACACTGATACAATTTGCAAAAAAAAAAAAGTCAAAAACACAAATAATTAAAACAAAACTATAAAGTTGTATACAACTCTGGCCACATAACACATCATAGAAGGACTTTCAGAAGATAATTAAGAAATAATAAAAATAAACAAATAAATTTGAAGATTTTGTTTGCTTTTTTCATGCTTCCAATAACAGAGAAAATTGGGTCTCAAAACCTTGGGTTCCGGGAAGCATGTTCATCTTCCTGCTGCATGGGTTGAAGTAATGTATCTGTCTCAGTGCAAAGGAGAAATCCAAGAAGGTATGTGCTCTATCTAAGCTCTTTTGAACAATCCAGGTTTTTTTGTTGTTGTTGTTTTGTTTTGTTTTTGGTTTTGTTTTTTTGTAGATTAGCAGTTAATACATAATTTGAGACCTTTTGATTTTTGGAAATTTTGCAGAAGTCAAGAAAAAGTTTCCATTCTCCATCAAAATATCTCATAATGTTTAATTATAAAAGTTCTTTTTGTCATTTTGAATCCATAAGTTTTATTGTTCAACTTTTTAATTACAAAATTGTTTTAAATCTTTAGTTCTTTTCTAAAATCAATAACTGATCAAAAAGTAATATAAAGTGTCACTTGGTGATTTCCAATTACATTATTTATTATATGTTAAAATAACTTGTTTCTGTATTTTGTAATCCTTACCATAAAATATTAGTCTAATGGTCTTTGTGTTTTACTTATATTAAACAGCAAGTTGTACTCATTGCTTTTTCATTTATCTTTTCTCATTTATATGTCTTCTTTCAAATGCCCTCTAATCAATCTGGAAAAGAAATTTAATAGCATTGTTTTCTTTTTTTTTTAAAGAGAGAGAGAGAGAGAGAGAGAGAGAATTTTTAATATTTATTTTTCAGTTCTCGGCAGACACAACATCTTTTGTTGGTATGTGGTGCTGAGGATCAAATCCGGGTCGCATGCATACCAGGCCAGCGCGCTACCGCTTGAGCCACATCCCCAGCCCAATAACATTATTTTTGAGAGGCTGAAATTCCTTTTATCATTTTCCTCAATGTTATTTGTATACCTTTTAAAATGAGTTTTAGAATGTTAACTACATAAGGTCAGAGGCTATTTCCCCATGTAAATTGGGATTTGTCATGTTGCCTGGAAGCTTCAAGCAACAGGAAGAGGCAAAATTATTTTGTATTTAACTTGCCTTTAATGACTCTTCACTGTGGACACTGCCAGTCCACAGACTGACCTCTATTAAAATGTTTAAATGATATTAAGGAAAGCACTTTTGGTGTACCATCAACCAGCAGCCACTTGCTCTTCATTCAGTTGAACTTCGGTTTTGTTCAGGCATCCTGTAGTCCTGTGATTCTGCCCTTTGCCCTGAATCAGGGAGGGAAGGGTGGCTGGTCTAAGTTAATTATAGCAGTTCTTATTAATTTGCTAGTGATTAGATCATGAGTAGTGACATGACCTGGTCCAGCCCAAAGGAATGTAAACACAGGTCTGTTAGTAGTATTTGTTTTTGAACATGCAAGAATATTTTGGAAATAAAGCATCCTTTCTCTCTTCATACCCCTCCCCCCATTATTCCTGCCTGGTTAGCTTCATTAAGAACATGCTGTCTGGAGAATGTGTAGCCATCTCAGTTATGTACATCAGGGAACTAGGGGATGAAGAAATGTGCATACAGAGGGCAGCCATTAATCATTTCTGGAGTCTTTCCAATTCTGATCTTGTGAAATAAGACACAGCCTTAGTTTGCGTTACTTTCTGTAGAATTGAATGCTACAAAACCAAAAGCATTTTTTTTCTTTCAATACTGGGATTGAACACAGGGGCACTTTATCACTGAGCAATATCCTTAATCCCTTTTTAAAATGCCCTATGTATTTATTTATACAGGGTCTTGCTAAGTTACTGAGAATGGTTTCAAACTTGCAACACCCCTGCCTCATTCAGCCTCCCAAGCCACTGGGATTACAGACCTACCACACTGAGCATAGCCCCAATGCATTTTAATTCATTCAGATATTAAATTCTTGGCTCAGGGTGTAACTCAATGATAGAGCTCTTGCCTAGCATGTGTGATGCCCTGGGATCAATCCCTAGCACTGTGTGTAAACACATACACAAACAAACACACATATCAGATATTAAATGATGCCCTAAATATTGCTTCTTTTCACCATCTCCACAACTAAAATAACTTCCTAGGAGTTGTCCAACCTATACTCTTTTCTGCTTCTTATCTGTAGTCTACTTTCAACTTAGTAGTGACCATGTGTAATACTTTTTAATTTTCAATGGCTTCTGATTTTATTTAAAATGAGTCCCAACTCTATATCATGACCTACAGGGCCTCTACGGGATCTGATTGCTAGATGCTTGCTATGTATGCATTATGCTCCAGTCACACTGGCTTCCTTCCTATCTCTTGAACATGTTAAAGTTTTTCCTTTCTCAAGTCCCTGCATTTGCTGTTCTTCCTTGGATAATTTACACCAAAACCCTTCTAATGACCTTGAGTTCCTATTTTTCTATAGGCACTTAGCCCTACTTTCCTCCTCCTTCAACATGAGTAGCCTTGTTTCCTCTGCTTCAGTTTTCCAGTCTTTTGTTCTTCTCTTTTATAGCATTTATCTTCAGGATTCCTTTTCATCAATAATTTTGTCTTATTTCTCTACCATTCCATATATGACCTGTTGATCAATATAAACATGTTGGCTGTAATAGCTGGGGCTCCTTGGGCATCTCTCTCTCTCTCTCTCTCTCTCTCTCTCTCTCTCTCTCTCTCTCTCCCTCTCTCAATCTGTGTGTGTGTCTCCCAATATGCTATATCATCATTTGAATCCAGCTTCATGACTTGGGCCTCCTACATGGCAGCTTAGGGTTCCAAAGCTAGTATCTTGAGATAGATAGACAGAAATCCAGGTGGAAACTATATTGTCTTTTCTGATTCAGCCTTGGAAATCACTGGGTGTCACTTTTGTGGGTTCTATTGGTTGAAGCATTCACAGGGCCTGCTTGAGGGAAGGGAACATTCACCTCTTGATGGGAAGATGGAAAAGAATTTGAAAATGTGTTTAAAACCAGAATTGGAGGAGCAAATAGTTAATTGCAAGAATTAATTGTAGCATGTAGAAAAATAGGATGATTTTTAAATAACAAAGTTTCTACATTTTTTAAACATTTCAGAAGCTTTAAATATGCTTCATGCTTCCCTGGACCATGCTTCCTTTGATTGCGATCATCTGCCTGCCTTGTTTTTTCTTGCGGAATCAGTTTTACACAGATTTTGTTGTGATGCATTTGTGAAGGTATTTTTATATTCAGTTGAAATAAAACTGGCAAAGGTACGTTTTAAAAAAATTTTTAAAATACTTTTAATTGCTATATGCACTACATGTATCCAAATGACATCTGTTTTAGAATCAAAACAAGACATTTACTTTTATTATGGAACATTCTCCAGTTTGGTAATTTTAATCTTACCATAAATGTGAATAGTACATTATTGTTTGATATCCAAGTGCAAAGGGTTTGAGAAAATAAAATTTCACTAGCTATGTTAGAAAACATTTAATTAAAAATCAGGATAGTTACTGTTTTTTGAGTACATATAGATTTTTTTCCATTTAATGCATCTTTTAATGAATTTTTTTCTTCCTTTGCCATTTAAAAGTGCTGACATCTAACCTTAGTTTCTCAGCCTGAGAAGATGGGTGGTCCTCTCAGTACTCTATGCCATTTTAGAGATGTAAAGTGAGAAACCATCTTTGCATAGGTCATGTTTTATATGGTCCTGGAAGTCATATGGTTTCACTCCCTGTAATCATCCTGGTTGACTGTCACAAAATTTATTATTAGTCAAATAAATTTAGATACATTAATTAATTTATTGAAAAGGAAGAAAAGAAAGGGTAGAAGGATTTATTTAACATGACATGTAGCATATATATGTGTATATATATGAAACGAGTAAAATTGACTATGCAAGGATGTATTATTCTTACTCAGTTTTGATCATCAATCGTTAGAAACCAAGCATGAGAGAATATTCATGAATCAGTCCATCAATAATACATTCTGTGGAGGTTTTAGTTCTTATAAACTTAGCCTAACTGCTTTTCTACATGTATGGGAGTAAAAGTCTTAGAGAGACCACACAAGAGAGATGAAGAGAGGAGATAAAAGAATTAAATGTGCAAAGAACTGAGACTTTGCTCAGAAAGTTGGAAAAAAAGAATTAAGATGTCACCAAGAGCTGCCTTAGAATGGTGAGGTTATAATTTGGGATCTATATATTTGCATTTATAATAGAAAATATAGAAATATATATGTATAAATATTAATATGAAATACACAAAACAAACACAAGCTTATTTATAATGGAAAAATTAAATGCAGTGAAATAAAAAATATAATGGATTGGAAAAACACTGAGCAAGTCTGGCTTATCTCTCCTTTCCTTCTTATGATTTTTAGAGACCTTTCTCCATTTCTTGATTTTGTATCTCTTCTAGAAACAAAAATCACTACAAAGTACAGTTTCTTCCACTGAATGTATTGCTTGTACCTCATGCACACTATGTCATTTTAATTTTTAAGTTTTCCTTCATCTTCTTATCTTGAGGTTAGACAATTCACATAGGTTCTTATAGCAGCTGCAAAGGAGCAGCATTTACCTCTGAGCTTTGCACACTGATAAATGGCCTTAGATATGTTTGCCAATTACCTTTTATGTTATCTCACAATCATCCTAAAAGTTGTGTGCTAGCATTATCAACCATTTTACAGATGAGAAAATTGTAGCACAGAAAGCTTACTGACTAAGCCAATGACTCAGCAAAAAGGGTTTAGAGTCCAGTGGAGTCTCAGCCATGATGCCACATGTGTACCTGGATCTCAGGTGTACTCATTTTAAAGCTTACTCTTTATTCTTTTGGCCAGTTTAAACTAGTTAGTGGAAGCAAGCATGACCTACGTACACTGTAGAATTTCATTATGTAACTCATTGGAAAATTTTCTTTTGTTCTTTTCTTTTTAACCAAAGGCTTAGTTGAAAGGTATTCCCATAGAGGCACCACACACCTCCATCTGCACCATTTTACTCCTCCTTTGATGAATTAACTCGGGTTTGGATAAAGCCAGAAATACATGATTCCCTAATATTGTTTCATTAAAGATTTTTTAAATGTATTCTTTCCTCTCCATCTACTTCTAAATGTAGAGTCTTCTTAATTATCGAAGTCTGCTTATGGAAATGTAGAGAATAATATATAAACAACAGCAGTTTAATATATTTGGATATAAACATAGGTAGTACTTCTTAAGTTTCTATGGAAGATCATGAAACATAACCAACTATGAAAATATAACACATAATAAATATTGTCTAGCATTTCCATTTCAAAGTCAACCAAAAGGGTAGAGAAGTGAAAAGAATGAAGAAGAGAGAAAGAAGTAAATGAAAATGAAAGGAAAGATAGGAAGACAGAGAAAGGAATAGAGAAGCAAGAATTCAGCCTAGGAGGCATGCTTGAATCCTCTAGTTACAGATAAAACATGTACAAAAATGACACACAGAGAATGACACAAAGAAAGTCCCAGGAATCCTGAGAGATGCGGAAAGGGAGAGTTTTCCATAAAATCTGGTCTTCAGAATATTATAGGTAAAAGCTTTTAAAACCATGTTTCCAAGCATAGTTATAACTAGGGATAACATCTGGGCCAGGTGAAATTCAAAACCAAATTGGAGGATAATACAGTATTTTCCATTTGTGCCATATTGAATTTTTTAGTATCAATTAATATTCCTTTCAATATTTATATATATTCCTTTGAAAAATCCTCAATAATCCTCTTTCTGAATAGCTTTTTCATGCTTTGCCTGTAACTGTAGAAGTTGCTGCCTGTAATGCTCTCATGTAGACTACTGCAATATTCTTTTACATGGTCTGTTGACCTTCACGTCCTTCTCATTTAACTTCAATCTCTCCGAGAAACACAGTGCAATATAACAAAGTGGTCTAGATGAAGAGACTCCCTGAGCATGCCTTAGCAACATTTTGTTTTATTTTATAAGTCTATAAATAGTAGATGTTCATAATTTATAGAAACATTTCTTAATATTGATGGTTCATCCTGAAAATGTATTTTTAATGATACAGGCTTATGATTAAAAAACAATTGAATTCCCAGCTGTAAGTGAAATTTTATGGTTTATGGAGTAGTACACACAATTGTGGGTTGAAAGTCCTGAAATGCCACTGATTTGCTTAAGAGTATTAGGTGAAGCACTGAGATGTGGTTATATTAAACGATTTTATTTTATTTTAACATGTATATCTGATAATACCCTGTGTTACTGTTAAGAAAATTTGAGATATTTTTTCTCCCTCCCTCTTTCTCTCTCTCTCTCTCTCTCTCACACACACACACACACACACACACACACACTCACACGCACGATAGTGACAACTATTGCTATTTATTTCTTCTCCAAGATTTAGTTACTAATATTTTATTTTTTTATAGTTTTTGTGTTTCTTTTCCTAATTTTATGTGAAACTGTATTTATTATGCATTTTTTGCAGATGTGCCATTTTCTATAGTCTATGTAAAATAAACTATTTTTTTATCTACATGTGTATTTTAAATGTCACAGAAATGAGGTTTTGCAGTGCTTATTTAGTAACGAAATTATGAGGTTTTTTTTTTCATGAGAGAATAGGGAACTTGGTGAACCATACTATGTACATGCAGAATATTTATCAACCCTGACTTAAATGGTGTTTCTCAAACTCTTTTCATTAAGACTCATAAGAAGAAATATACTTTGCATTGTGACCAAGCATGCATAAAATATACACTCACTTACATACTGAAAAAAAAAAGGAATTCTGCAATACTTCATGATGTTTTCTCTTTATTTTTATTTTAAAAAATATCCTCACAGTTGATTTCACGACTCACTTCAGGAGCATGACCAGCAATTTGAAAAATGCTGTTGTAAAGGATATAGAACAAAATAGTATTCAGTATTGGTTATATGAAATGTAGAGATGATTTATAAAAGTTTTGTGGCTGAACTAGCATTTCAATCTTGATGTAAATGTTTTAAAATTATTTAAAATATGTAATATCAACAGTTTGAAGTTGTTTTTATCAAAAGTCAACATAATAATGAAATGGTTTATTTTTTATATGGTTTTTAAACATTCACTAATGCAATACAAAAAATGCTTTTCTCTTTTGACAGATTGGCTATTTGATCTTCTTACGACTTTTTATATTTTTCCTGCATGGTCACCTAGAAAGTTTTAAGCAACATTTACTTAGGCTTCAACCATATTTATACGGTACAATATCTTTTATTTTAGACTTATAAATGTTTTATGTTACATTTTAAGAAGCTCTGACTGTCACTATAAAAAGCATAAATTGTATTTTATTTTCATGAAAGATAATAGGTACAGTGTTAGATTCTGAGAGAGACTGCATTTGTTTGGCATTCACCCACCCTGCACTTACTATTTCTTTGTGGTGAGAACATTTAAAATCTATTCCCTTAGCAATTTTGAAACATACGTTATTATTAACTGTAGCCACACGCTGTGCAATAGATCACTAGGACTCATGCCTCCTGTCTAGCTGAAAAATTGTACTCCTTGACTAATATCTCCCCTTTCCCAGACACCCTTCTCCTCCCCTTCCCATCTCTGGAAACCACTATTGTGCTCTGCTTTATGCTTTCACCTAAGTGGATGATGATGATGATGATATATATATATATATATATATATATTTTTGTACTGGAGATTGAAACCAGGGGCGCTTTACCACCAACCACAATCCCAGCTCTTCTTGGTGTATTATTTAGAGACAGGGTCTCACTGAGTTGCTTAGGACCTTGCTAAGTTGCCGAGGCTGGCTTTGAACTTGCAATCCTCCTGCCTCAGCCTTCCAAGCTCCTGGGATTACAGGCATGCACCACCAGGCCCAGAGGATGATGATGTTTTGACTTAGTTTTCTCATCTCTAGCACTGCCTACTAACTGGATTTCAAAAAAGTTAAACTCACATTTTAGTCAGGTAAGCCTACTGTAGTTGCTGGATTGAGTAAGGAGAGAGTGAGTGGATTCAGGAGGCCAGTTCAGCACATTGTACATAAACAGAATATTTCTTAGCACTATTCAAAACAATGATTTTCATACTGTTTTGATTAAGATCCATAGAAAGAAATATCCTTTGCATTGCAATGAGCACACACACAAAATACATTCACTTACATACATAGAAAAAGGTGTTGCTATTGAAGAGAGGTTAAAGATGTGGACTATTATAATGGGAATGGTATATTGTTAAATAGTTTTTAAAATAGTTAGAGATAAAAGAGACTAGATTGGTGACCAATTAGAGCTAGGATATATGTAACAAAGTGGGGAATTCAGGAGAAAGTAGATGTTTTACATATTGAATAAAAGGATCAAGATTTGGAGAAATATTGGGCACATTAAATTTGAAGGCCATGAGAGAAAGTTGAAACCTGGGAAATTTATTTTACAGTCATTTATTTGAATGTCCCTGAGATAACTTGAGGTGGGGGGACTAATTGTAGGAACTGAGTCTTGCAGAAGATAAACATTTAATGAATTATTGGAGTAACAGAGCCCACTAATAGAGAATTCAGGAAAGTAAAAGAGAGTAGTGACATCTAGATAGGAAAATTCAAGGAGATCAACATCATCAAGAGCTGCAGAAGTGTTAAAGAGCAGGAGCTCTGAAAAGCAGTAATGGGTTTCTGGAATCACTGATCTTGGGGCATTCCTCAGGGACAGGTGAGAACAAAATTCAGACTGGAGGCAAATGCTGAGGGAACATTTAAGTACTAGACGAAATTGTGAACTAACTATTTTTAAAGGTTTGAAATTGTGAACTATTTTTAAATGTTTATATTAAAATAGAAATATGCCAGTAGTTTGGATGAAAAAAAATCATATCCAAAGAAGAGATATAATAAGGGATGGGGAGATTCAAGATAAAACAAAGGAGATAATATTTGATGGGAAAAGTTGTTAAGGAGAGAACAGAAGGAATGGAGTTTGCACCCTACAAGTCCAAATAAGATATGAAACCCAGAGGAAGCTGTAGACTGGTAGAGCATGAATTCTTGTCTGTCATACTGCTTGTTCTCATTTCTTCAATATGAAATAAATTGTAATTCCTTATAGTGTTTAGCATACTGACTTGTCAAATATTCAGCTGATAGTGGCAAATACATTTTTGAAAAAAATACATGGATAAAACCTCATGTTCTTTTATTAGTTCAGTTATTGTAGGTATATCCCAAGAAAACCAGCACTTTCCTTTCATAAAGGGATAAATCCCCCCCACCTTTGCCCTCTTACCAAATACTGTTAGGTAGAGCCTTAGGCCACATCTCTAGCTTCAGCAACAGGCTGTGTCATTTACCTGAAACAATTAGCAGCTGCGGCCTATTTGTGTCATTGTCCAGTAGAAAGGGGCATCACTCATTTTTCCTCTATGCAAATGGATTGAAACCCAAAGGTTGTCTAAAAGTTAAATTATCACATAGTTGTATGTTAAATGATATGATTATTGTCTATATTTGAAGGATGTACTTTAAGAATCAATAACAACATCTTGAAATAAAATCAGAGAATGTGGGGTTAGAAATGACATTAATTTGTTTGTAGAATTGCAACTTCAAAGTATCTAGTATGAATAGAGTGTATATTATAACTTGATTTATTTTCAGCTAGAGGCAACCAAGCATTGTTGAGCAGTAACAATATTTAATTGGGCATTCAACCATTATGTAATGCCGTTCTGAATTACATAAACTGCTATCTGAATTATTTATTTTGTAGTTTTTTTTATTACACCACCAGGGGGCAGACATACTATTGTAAATCTTGATTACTAGGTAAATGTTCAACAGTTCCAGCACCTAAATACTCAATTTAATTATATTTTAACAGATAAAAATGAATGAAGTACAATGCAAGATATTACTGAAGTATTTTTCACAAATGATTTTTCTTACAATAGCACTTTCTTTCTCTGAAGAACCATATCACAAGTATCCAAGCATCTATTCAAATGTGCAATTCATCCTGAAAACATCAGAAATTATATGTAAAAGAGAACTTTCTGAATCAATCTTTATCCATGAGGAAAATGAGGAAGAATACAAGAACATAGATTCAGATGTGGTAGGTAATTTGACATGGTGGGCATATCTTGTATGATTTATATGATGATTGCCATGAATAATCATGCTTGTCAATTCAGCAGTCATTGCTGATGAGTTCACTGCAGGGAGAGTGGGCAGTGATGGGATGAACACCACACACACTAATTTCATGCAACCATATGCACATTTCATGGCAAAGAGACAATTGGATCAGTAGTAGGGCATCAATATGCACCAGTACTACTTTACATGGAGTAATGCCATAATACCTCTTCCCTGTAGGTTTTACTTTAGTTTTTAGCTAAAATTACAACATGATTTAGATTGATAAGTTAAAATTTCAAGACACTATGTTTTTATTAAAGGGAAAATATGTAAAGGCAAATTATTCATGAGATATGTGTAATATTTTATGTGCCTGTAATTCATATAGGGTAACATTTAATATGCTCTCAAAATCAATGGAAAACTTTAAAAATATTTCAAATTAAGGAACTCAAATAATTCTTAAACCTCTCTTAATTATCTACTCAAATATTAATGATCAACCTTAGAGAACACAATCTATCCTAATTATGTAATTCCTTGATAGGTACTAAACTATAAATATGCAAACACAAGTGCAATGTGCCATATAATTATACATACACCATTCAGACTGATATACTTCAAAGGACAAACTTCAGTCTCTGATGTAATAATGTCTTTATTTCCTTTCTTCACTTATCTTTCAAAAGAGATCAGTGAACACTTTGAAACCTTGATTCTTTCATTATTTTATTTTTTGTTGCACAGTTATTATTTTATAGTTTATAAATAGAAAATTCATTTTTGAAAGTTTCTCAAAAGAAGAAAAATGCTTTCAACATAATGAAGTTGAAACAATAGGAATTTGGGGGAAGATTCTATTTGCCAACAGGTCTATTTCTATGTGACCCACAGCTTTCCATGCTTTCTGTGGGCCTTTTCTAAAATTAGCTATAAATTAAATATGCGAGAAAAGACATTTCACCACATCTATTTGAACTCTAAGTGTTTTCTTTTTGGTTCATTATAGATGAACCATTTATATATTTGCTAAATAGTTTGAACCTTCTAGTAATAATTACCAATGAACATGAATTGTATCATTTTAAAGGAAGAGATCTTGTTTGTAAGTTTAAAAATGTTTTGATAATAAATACATAATGTAAGTCACGGAGCAACAGAAAGAACACTGATCATGAAAAGACCTGCTCATCAACTGGCACTGGGATCTGGAGGAGATTCATTAAACTTTCCATATCTCCATTTGCTTAGCTATAAAAGTCTTCATCATCACCATCTTGTCATATCTGCCCTAACTCTTCTACAGGTGATATAGTTTGGATATGAAGTGACCCCTAAAATCTCACATGTGAGACAAGGCAAGAAGATTCAGAAAAGAAATGATTGGGTTGTGAGAGTCTTAACCCAATTGGTGAATTAATCCCCTGATAGGGATCAACTGAGTGGTAATTGAAGTGGTAGGGTGTGGCTGGAGGAAGTGGGACATGGCTTTGGGGTATATTTTTGTATCTAGCAAGTGGAGACCTCTCTCTGCTCTCTGATCATCATATGAGCTTCTTTCCTCCACCACACTTGTCTGCCTTGATGTCCTTGCCTTACCTTGAGCCCTGAGGAATGGAGCCTACTGTCAGTGGACAGAGACCTCTGAAACCATATGCCTTCAAATAAATATTTCCTCTTTAAATTGTTCTGGTCAGTTCCTTTTTGTCACAGCAGCAAAAAAGCTGACTAAAACAACAGGGTTGTTGTGAGTTTAAAAAAAATGTGCCTTGTATATTAAATGCTACGCAAATGTAAGTAATGATCATTGAAAAATAGTTAGGCATTCATTTTAACATAGACAGTTAAGTGTAATAATTTAATCTAAGCATGAAGCTATATTGACTTACTGTAGTGATTTCAGTGTTTTTCCTTTATACAAATAAGATGCCATGAAATCTTACCAACCTGAACGTTGGTTATGAAGCTGGTGCACACACAGAGCAAGCAAATGGGAGCTAACTGCTGTACAGATCAGCCTGAATCGTAAGGGGCAAAACTGTCAACATTGAGAGGAACATATCTGCTTAGATGATACTTAGTCTCTTTCTGTGTCTTTTCCCACTTTGTAGAACAAAGGGCTTAAATTCAATTGCTCCTAAATTCTATTTCAGCTCTATCAATGTGATTCTCAGAGGGGATTATAACAGATTATAGCCTATCAGGTTTATTGCTCTTTTTTTTCCCTCCTTCAATTACTTCATAATATGAAGGCTATAAAGGACAGTGTAACCACGTTGCTATGAAATTGCTGATTCTGTAATCAGCACTGATTCAGAACTTGATTGCCATGCCTTAAAGTTTCCAGATTTCAGCCCAATTCCTCTGGAATCACTTAATCTACGCCAGCCTCCCCAGTTCAGTTGAGCATCTCCCGGTTCTATACCACCTTACTCAAACTGCTGGGAAGAGGAAGAGGAAAAAAGATAAAGTTGGAATATAAAAGACATTTATAGTCATCCTTTATCCTCTCCTTATTAGTAGGACATTACAGTAGAGGATTTGTGAATTTATTCCTAGGAGACCTTATTCTCTGATAATATAAAAGGTCCATGGCAGCATCTTTTGGCCACTGTAAAAAATTTTATCTTTTTAATTCATTGGGGCAAAAGCATAATTACTTAATTTGTTGTCCAACTATTGCTAACTGCTTTTAAAATTATGTAGAATTTATACATTACCATACACACAATATGGTATTGATTCTATTTAAGAATAGGAAATTTCTGGACTGGGGCTGCAACATAGTGGTATCGTGCTTTCCTCACACTTGTGGTTCAATCCTCAGCACCACATAAAAACAAATGAACAAACGAATAAAAGATGTTTCCTTTCCTCTCTTGCTGCACTCCATTTCTTGTTTTAATGTCCTTTTAAAGGATCCAGACACAGGGTTTTGATTGACTTTTACAAATGGTACACTTTAATTAGCTCTGCGGATTGAAGGACCAGAATGCTGGATTGAGTTTTCCATGCTCACCAGCAAAGCTGAATTTTCTAAGCACAGTTGTCATATGGTAATAATAACACGGTTTTTGGAGAAGGTAACTTTAAACTCAGTGAAAATGGAGTAGATTCTTTATTAAAGAGTTTTATCTGTTCTAAAGTACAAAAATTCCCTGAAAAACGAGCTGACAGAGTTATGTGATGAGCAATCTCATCATCCAACACTTACAACTATTCAGGAAACCGAAGCCACCACTTAAATTTAGGATATTTTATGCTGACTGTAATTGTAAATGGGCATTAGCAACTGGATTATGAGGATTTAAAGAACTTTTTTCTTTAAAATTAGGAGCATTATCCTGTGATTAATGCCCTGTAATCCAGGTAACAAGTTTATATTGGAGAGGCCCTTTGGAGGCAATGTCAGCCAATCCCAAATGACTAAAACAAGGGTGAAACTCTGAAATCTGTATCTGAGCAGCCATGATAGAGCTCATTCTTCAAAGCTCATTTATGTTTTAGAAGCTTGGGCAGACACTCAGGGTTTACGTACTTCAATTTTCATAAAGTTCAAGGTGATGTGGTTATCCAAATTCTTAGCTGTCTGATAGTACTTCCAGCGATGAGCTTCTCAAAGTAGGCCTTGCACCAGCTGCAACTGGCAGTCAAAGCTGGGCAGCAAGGCAGGAGGTGAAAGAACTGTGGCAAGCAGTTAAATAAAAAATTAAGGAAGGAAAGAAGTGAGTCGTTTAATGCCGTAGTCAGTACCAAACGTTAGATTTGGTGAAAGATTAGTCTAGTCCCAACTTCTCTTCCCTTTCTTTCTTTCTTTTTTTTTTTTTGTTTAATTTCCAAACCATCACAGAATGATGATATTATAAAATGTAATAATAATGAATTACTGAAAAAAGAATATTATAAAAACACATTGTAATTTTTATCACACTGAATGTTTATAATTATTCTGTCAATTTGTTGTGAAAATTTTTAATTATATATTCTTCATTTCTCTAGTATTAAGAGTTGGCAAACCACATTTTTCTGCCAATCACATCTAGATTAGGAGTGACTTGGTGTAAAGGCAAAGAACTCTACACCACTCAAGAACTCCCAGACCATTCTCCCTCTTGGTCTTCTACATTGATGATGTCCATGTCAACTGTATTAAATCACATAATCATCATTATTTTATTAATATTAATTGGGTAAAATTGATCTTGATGATTCGAGTACCCTTAAGACAAAGTGAAGAGGAGCAGGTCTGCAGTTAGCACATTGGGTTTATTATTTGTTGTAGAGAGAACCCTCATCACTAGGAACGACAGGATGTTTCAGCAAGAGACATCCTATCCTGTGGTAGGACTTGAACTGTGAGTGATTGGGAGAAGATTGAGGGAGAAAGGCTTCTCTCTAGATGGGATGCTGTTAGAAAGTAGTGGCAACTGGATGATCAAGAATTTTGTGAATAAGGGCTGGGATTGTGGCTCAGCGGTAGAGCGCTTGTCTAGCACGTGCAAGGTACTGGGTTTCATCCTCAGCACCACTTAAAAATAAATAAATAAAATAAAGGTATTGTGTTTAATTACTTCTAAAAAGTAAATGCTTTAAAAAAAGAATTTTGTAAATGATTCAGTGACTTTGCTTTTGCCTGTGCTTGGGAAAATAATTATCAGATGGCTTTGTTGATTTATTATAGTATCAGAGTAATATTACTTGAGTTTGGTATTTTGTGAATTATGTTCAACAGGAGATCAAAATGACCTAGCTGAGAGCACCAGACCAGACTGTAATAATACATTGTCAAATCAGTCCAGACGTCAGAGGCTGCTTTTTACTTCTCAATGATGAGTAGGAATGGCATCATAAAAAATTGAAAATAAAACTAAAATCTTGTTCATTGTCTAAATCCTGATTTTTTTTCATTAAATACACTCAGGAATTTTCTCTGGTGATGATACAGATGTGTTAACACAAGTATATTTCAAGTAACTGAATATTCTATGTAGCCATGCAATATTTGTGATTTAAAAAGAAATAGTAATAATAGTAATGATAACTAAATAGAATGCATTGATTGTTGACAAAGTCACCCCAAAATTTCAAAACCTACCTACTGACCATTTTATTCAGAATAAGTTTGTAACCTGACAACTGTCAGACATCTAAACTGAGACACCTAGGGCAGTGTGGGAAGAGAATCTCATTTATGTGAGTTCTGCTTTTTGTATGGGGTATACCACGAAGCAGAAAATTGAGTTATGTGTGCATTTACTGAAGTCAGCATGTCTCAGTCTGATACCTTACATTACTTTAAAATAGAACTTTTCTGTGGAATATTCTAACATTCTACACATTGATTTGTTTCTATTTGCTTTTCTGAGTTATTATTCCCCAGAGTCAGTAAGCTCATGCAGACTGTGTCTTACTCATGCCTTTATCTCTAGCAGGTAGCAGAGTTCCTGACATAAAGCGAATCAATACACATCTGCAGTACTTAACTAATTAGTTTACTAGAAAGCTAAAATGTCTTAGTTTGAATTTATGTATGAACTTCTGACCTGTCTTAAGAGTGCTCAACATGAAATCATCTTTAAATTGTAGTTGTGATGTTCTTTTATGTGACAAGAATTATGAGGCCCTGTATATTCGAAGTGTTTCTTTTTAACAGCACAAAATATCAACTAAGTTGGCGATATGGGCACATGTGTATTTGGATCTTTACGACTCAATGGGAGTGCCATGTCATCATTGAATACCAATTACTTCAGTGGACCAATTAGATCTAAAACTGCCAGGAAGCACTCTGAGAAATAAAACAAAGCAATAGTAGCCCATTTGTTATCTGAATTTGTAGGCTTTTAAAAAACTTACTTGACAGTGACCATGTCCTATGGGGCATATATTTTTCTCCTTAAGGTGGAAATTCAGAGCAAATTCTAGTTTGCTGTCTGATCTTTGTTCAAACTTTCCCCTATCCACTCTTGCTCACGTGTCAGGAAGAACTGAGTCACACAGAGTGTAAGAAACATAATCTAGTCTAGCAGCTGTCCCTCAGAGGATGTAGGATTCTTGTCATATTTGTAGAATGGATATCATGGAACACAAGCACCCATTTGAAAAATAGATACCTTAGGTTCAGATTGATTAATTATACTTACAAAAATATTCTCACATAAATTACTTCACCTGGTGAAACTTCAAGTGTACGAGAATATGCATTTTCATTTGTATATTTAAAATTTATTTTCATGTTGTTCAAGTCAAAGAATTTTTTCCCCAGATATATTTTTATGTTTTAATTCCAGGAACATTTGCCATTTAATCCAGGAGGATATGAAGTTAGCCACCTGCTCTGGCATTGTGTGGCTGTTTGGTCTTGTGTTCAGAATAATAGTCCTCAGCTGAATAATGTGCTTGAGCATCTCATCTTCCATAAAAAGCAGCTTCAAAAGAAATGCTGGTAAGGGTGATTCTATAAATCCAAAGGAACTCATGAAGAAACCTTTGTGCTTAAATGTTAAATAACCTTTGTATTTAAATGTTAATCACACCTCAGTTGACTATGAAAAAAATTTATAATCGCAGTTCTAAAGACAAGAGCAATTTATTTATTTTGTATTAGTTCATTTTTATCAATGACTCCCCTCTCTCTCTCTCATCTCTCTCCTCCCCCCCCCCCTCTCGATGTGCATGTATCCTTTATTTTCCATGTTACTAAAGAACAACATTTATAGTTGGGGGAAATATACTAAGATTCTATTTTTTAATGAGTCTCACTAGGAAATGTTGGTTCCTTCCAGCACATGTGCTAATTTAAGAAGGAAAATAGATGTTTTGTAGTATTACAAAAGAAGGCATGGGCTCAATGGAAGTAAATTGTTTTCCTCTAATAGACAAATAATAATTGTATATATTTATAGGGTACAATATGCTTTACAATGTGTAAACCTTGTAGAATAATTAAATCAAGCTAATTAATATATCTTATCTTTCTTTTGTGCTGGGATATTTAAAATCTACTCTCAGCAATTTTGAAATATTGAATACATTATTATTAACTATTTTTACTATGTTGTACAGTAGATCACTAAAATTTATTCCTTCGAACTGAATCTTTGCTCTAATCAATTAATTTCTCCCTTTTCCCATCTGCATTAAGTCCAACAAGCCTCTGATAGCTTCCATTATATTCTCTACTTCTGTATGTTTGGATTTTTTCAAATTGACTTGTGAGATTATGCAGTATATTTGTCTTTTTATACTTGTCTTATTTACTTAGCATAATGCCCCTCAGGTTCTTGTATGTTGTCATTCAGGGTAGTCTTTTTGTTGTTGTTGTAGAGGTTGAATAGTATTTTATTGTGTACACATGCTACATTTTCTTTATTCATCCATTGGTCAAAGAATAATTCTTATCTTGGCTATTTATAACAATGGTGCAATGGACAGGGCATTGTAGTTACCTCTTCAACATTATGCTTTTATTTCCTTTGGTCACCTAGCCAGAAGTGGATCATATGGTAGTTCTACTTATAATTTTTGAGGAGCTTCCATATTGTCTTCCAAAAATGGTTGCACTAATTTATATTCCAATCAAAAGTGCACAAGTGTTCGCTTTTCTCCATTTCTCACCAATAATTATCTTATATCCTGTTGATAACACCCATTGTAATAGTACTGAGGTGGTATTTTATTGTGGTTTTAATTTACATTTCTTTGATTATTAGTGTGGTAGAACTTTTTTTCATATACCTGTGGCCATTCATATGTCCTTTAAAAATTTTTTTCCTGGTACTAGAGATTTTTCCAGGGATGCTCTATTCTTGAGCTATATTCCTAGCCCCCATTTAAAAAAAATTATTTTGAGACAGGGTCTCTCTAAGTTGCTGAGTCTGGACACAAGCTTGAGATCCTCTTTGTAAGCCTCTTCAGTCATTGGGATCACAGGGATGTGCTACTGCTATCTGGCTTATATGCCTTCTTTTGAACAATTTCTGTTCAGATCCTTTGTCCATTTATAAATTGAATTTGTTTTCTTGTTCTTGAGTTCTTGTTTGAGTTCCTCATATATATTCAATATTAACTCCTTATCAGATATGTACATTTTCTCCAAATAAGTGGGTCATCTCTTTACTCTGTTAGTTTCAAGTGCTGTACAGAAACCTTATAGTTGGATGATACCACATGTTTATTTTTGCTTTTATTACTTGTACTTTTGGGTTCATATCCAAGAAATCATTGCTCACATCAATTTTGTAGAGCCTTTTCCTGTGTTTTCATCTAGTAATCTTACAATTTCATGTCTTCATTTGAGTTAATTAAAAAGTCAATCTATTTTGAGTTGATTTTGTGGAGTGAGCTCAAGGTTTAATTTCATTCTTCTACATGTAGATATTCAGTTTTCTCAGCACTAATTTTGAAGAGATTATCTTTTTTTCCATTTTCTATCAAAATTCAATTGACCATAAATATTTAGGTGTATTTCTGAGCTTTCTATCCTGTTTTATTTGTTGATGTGTCTGTTTTTATGCAGCATCATCATTCAGTTTGATTGCTGTAACTTTGTAATATATTTTGAAAACAGGCACAGTGATGCTTCCAGCTTTGTTCTTTTTGCTGGGAACTACTTTTGCAATCTGGGGACTTTTGCAGTTCTATAAGAATTTTACGATTGTTTTTCTTGTTACTATGAAGAATGATATTGGAATTTGGATAAGGATTATATTTGATATCTAGATTATTTGGGGTGACATGGCTATTTTTAAAAATACTGATTTTTCCAATCTATGAACATAAGATATCTTTCCATCTATTTCTTGTCATTTTCTATTTCTTTCATCTGTATTTTATAGTTTCAGTATACTAATCTTCTACACCCTTTAGTTAAATTTATTCTGGGGGGTGGTAAATAGAAGGAGTCTTTTTTATTTTCTTTTTTCATTTTTTTTGAAATGGAGACTCATTATGTTGTCTAATCTGGATTGACCTTGTAATCTTTCAGCCTCAGCCTCCTGAGTAGCTAGGATTATACAGGCCCTCTAAGGATATGATTTTTAAAATTTCATTTTTGGATAGTCTGTTAGTACATAAGTGTGATTTTGAATTTTGTGTGTTGATTTTGTATCCTACAACTTTACTGAACTTAATAGTTATAAGATTTTTGGTAGACCCTTTAGGGTTTTCTGTACATTAAATCATTTTCATCTGCAAACAGAAAGTTTAACTTTTTCCTTTCTATGATTTTTTAAATTTATTTCTTGCCTAACTACTCTAGCTAGAACTTTCAGTACAATGTAGAAGAACAGTAATAAGGGTGGATATCATCCTATTCCTAAGTTTCAAGGGTAAACTTCCAAAGTTTTATCATTGAAGATGATTTTAGGTATGGGCTTGTAATATATGTTCTTTATTTGTTGAAGAACTTTAAAGGAGTATTTCTGAGGAAATTGATCAGAAAGTATTCTTTTCTACTATTTGAAGAAGATCCCAGTTTTGAATTCCTTTTTCAGTGCTAATGACAAAAATAATAACATATCATGCCATAACAAGTTGAGAATTCAGGTATCATACTTTTAAAAATTCTACTTTTAAATTTCTACCAGCTTGTCCTATTTCAAAATTCTTTTATATGCAATTTTAAGTCTCTCAGATCCAATTGTAGAATCTTCTTAGAATCTGGAGCATTTCTTCTCAAGGAAAGCAGTTATCCCACTTATATGTGGAAGTTTGTGTGATTTTGGAGCAGGTAAATATTTCTAGAGAATGGCTTACAATTTACCTAATTTCCTAGAAATAGCTTATTTAGAAACAAACAAACAACAACAACAACAAAAAAAAAACTCACTGTCTCAAGGCCTGAGGGGAGAAACCTACTTAATTTTGCAATTTGAGAAACATTGTAATTCTTTTTCAAATAAAGATAAGGCTAAGGATAAAAATAAGGATAATAATTACAGATAAGAAAATAAAATTGAATGAAAAGTGTATTATACAAATAACACAATATGATTTTATTAGGTAATTTTAATATAGAGCTCCAAAATACAATGGAAATTATAGATTTTCAATGTGATTCTTTTAAATTTTTTTTTAGTTATAGATGAACACAATACCTTAATTTAATTTATTTATTTCTATTTGGTGTTGAGGATTGAACCCAGTGCCTCACACATGCTAGGCAAGTGCTTTACCACTGAGCTGCAACCCCAGCCCCCATGGTGATTCTTTCAGACATTTTTAATTATTGGAAATAAGAAATAAGGGATTTAAATATTTATTTTTCAAAAGGATAAACAACTAGAACTGCTTTAGTTCTTAGACAACTCTAACTTGATTTTTAAGAAAACATAAATCATATTTTAATACATAAAATAAATATTGCATGACTGTTGAATTTATTAACATAGCAGTCAGTCTAATACAGGTTTAAATAAGTGGTAAAACATTAAGAGGCTTATTAAGAATATCTAATTCTGGAAGTCATTTAATTATTTCTTTAACCAATTTTTAAGTTTTATTGTATTGCATCAAGATCTATTTAATTTAATTTGCTAATGATAATGTTTATCTATAAACATCTAAGAGCCAGCTATTTTTTTATACTTAGCATTTGTAGACATTAGAGACAACATCAAATCGATTTTTAAAAATAAAAAGAACGGTGGAATGAGACAGACATCATATCCTAGGTGTGTGTAGGATTGCATGAATGGTGTGACCCTACTTCATGTACAACCAGAGAAGTAAAAAATTGTGCTTCTCTGTGTACATTGAAGCAAAGAGAATTCTGCTTTCATGTATAACTGAGTAGAACAAGTAAAAAATATAAAAAATAAAAAGAAACTGAGGTCAAGTTTATTAGGCTTCTTGTGACTAGAACAGATCTTCAAAGTTCCAATATAACCCTGTCCCCAATGCTTCATTCTACTGTTTTTTTCTGGAGGCATTGTTAAGCAGGTAACTGCTCTGAGACAACCTGTAGTTGAATCTTCACCTTTTTTTTTCTAGTGTAGGAATAATGGAGAGGGGATGGGTGGGAGGACAGGGGATGGATTGAAAAAAATGTAAAATAGTGACTGTTCATATTAGAAGGGAAAAAATAATTGTTTAAAACAATTTTAAAAAGTCTAAAAAGTCTAAAAGTTTGTTTAACAAACTGCCAAATATTTCTGATTCTACTTCTTATATTTATCTTTTTATTTTAAGGAAATAATTTAATCTTTTTTAAAACAATGACTCTAGTAAACAAAAACTGTTGATATTAAAAAATTTGTTTTGTCTTTTTAAGTTATCATTTTGACTATTTTGTTAATAATAGCATCATATGAAATATTTAAAAATAACTTTTCTTCTTACCAAGTATTTAAGTTATTTAAGAGTCCATGTACCTTTCAAGGGGCCATTACCCCAATTAAAAAAAATTGTGATGCAATAATCAAAATCAAATTGGCTATTCTTTGC